CAGGAATTTTGTTCCAGTGAAAACCAAGGAGCCTGTGATACTTCATTAGGTCACAAAGACTGTGGATACCACTGGTGAAAGAAAAATGTCATCATTTTTATGAAGGCAATCCTGTTGGGAAAAGAAATACTTGGACAAACCAGACAGTTACGCTATGCTACGCACCACCTGAAATACCTCTGAACAGCAAATACTCATACATCCTCCTGCTCGATATAGCATGTTAAACTATATAATTTGAAAAGGTCTCCTTTAACCTTGCAATAATAATAATAAAAAAATTAAAGTAAACTTTGTCACTTGCATGGAAAACCTCTAAAAATGTAAAACACTTGCCTCGGTCAATGAGCTCATAATTGACTGCCAACATTCTACATTATCTTAGGCTGAAGATACTAAATTTTGCACACAACAGCAAAAACATCTTAGAACCTCTTGCTGCAGCTGAGGTACAAACAAGGAGTTTTTTCTACAAGTATAATTCAATCTGTTTTATCTAATAAGCTGCTCCCTTCCTACCCCCACAAATTCATTCTTTCAAAAACAAGTTCTTTCTAAATCATAAGACGTTTCTGGAATTTCATCATCTCTTTGCCAACAATAATTAGACAAATAATATGTAAGATTTCAGCCAGGAAATTTCATCTATGTCACATGTCCCAGCCTCTCAGAGCAACTGCTCCGTGGTATCAGGTCAGAAAAGTGTCTTGTATCAAATAACCGCAATGCCAAACGTTGCAGAGGAAGGTGTAAAACCTCAATCATAAGCTATTTTACATCAATACGTCAACTGTACAAATTCCTTTATTATCTTTAAGGTAAATTCTTTCACTTAAACTGATAATAACGTGAAACTGAGCAATGAAACAAGCAGTGAATCAACTTTAAAGTTGTCTTCTAAAATATCTGCAGTCTGGACTTCCTTTCATGTCACGTGTCTGCTCCGTACTGTCTGTTCTCAACTGATTTAGAAGTTACTCCCATTTCATGGCACCTACTCTGCCCCTGCATGGCTGCCTGTGGAGGAAGTGTAGTGACAGGGGGGTTTTTTTGTAGTTCGACTCGATGGATTCTTCTTTTACCTCAGCACTTTGGGCAAGGCTAGCTGTATAATAATAAGGCTGAATTCAATATAGGTCAATCCATGAAGAGATGATGATTGTAAGTAAGAGGAAATAACCAACACAGGTACTAAATGTAGAACTCTATCCCAGTAGCACAATGTTAATTTTTGTCCTTTAGCATCTTTAAGGAGTGTATATATAGTTCAAAAAGAACTTCAGCTGTGTTGAAATGGAACAGTCAATCCCTCACATGGATCTCACTTCAAGCCTTCAAACTCCAAGATTGAATTTCTACTGTATGAATAGCAATTAATTTTCTTGGCCTGTTCCTTAAAACTGCTCCTGGTGAGAGCAGAACTGGTCCTTCAGGTTCTAATCTCTGCTTAGTGACTGTCAACAATTGAGATTGAGGGGGTCTGGAGCTGAGGATACCAAATCATGCTCAGAAACAGATTCTAAAGAGACCACTGGTTGCAGACTGCACAATAATCACTTTAGACCTTGGTGTATCTTGGTGAATCCCTGGTCAGCTGTGTGATGACTGTACTATTCTACAGATCCCTTCACAGGCTGTATATTGACTGTATTTCACTTCCCTGCACCTATAACATGATCTATGAGGCAGGCTAAAGTAGATTTATTGACATTGTTTGCCCTGAAACAAGTAGATGGAGTCTTATATTTCCCAAAGAATGAACCTCAAACTCTAGGGCCTGATGTCCTCTCAGTAACCTGAGATCTTTTACTGAATTTAAGATTTCTACAGAACCTGCATATTATACAAATTCTATCTATATTTTCAGAGATCTACCTGAGGAAAACAGATAAATACAAAGTGCACCAGCTGTACCCTGGGGATTAAATTTAACTACAAAATTTATTATAAAAATTGTATGAACTACTAATAATTACAACTAAGTTAAATCTCACACTCAGAATTTTAATTTTCATACATTTTCAGTTTGGAAAACCCAAAAATTAAGACAAAAGAAAAAAAAAAGAAAGACTTGGCACAAAAAAAACCAACTGTATCAGTGAATACTAATTCATTTGCTTCCTATATGCTCAAAGGGTAAACTATAATCTGAACCACAGTCATCCTAAATCTTAAAGAAAAATCTTAGTTATACCAAGTAATTCTAGCAATGACTTATCAATCAGAAGTCCAATTCTTAATTTTATTTCTATTCTTGGCATTTGAGTTGCCTTAAATTGGAAGCATTTTAAAGTCAACACAAAGCACCATTCATATGCATCTTGTTTTGAAAAATCACTCATGTAAAAGAGAAATCAAGCATTAAAAACTTCAACATACTTGTTCATCATTTGTTGCTCTTGTTGATTCTTCCTTCCTCTCATCTGGCAGAGGCACTCTAGTCAAAGCTAGTCCATTCAGGGCAGCCAGTTTTAGAGGCCCCATTTTTTTTGCATCATTTTTATTCTTTTTCATACCCTGCAAAAGAAAAAATAAAACTTGCAAATATTACCAAATATCTGAGTAAGTTATAAAGCAGAAGCTAGATGAGTTCAATGAAACAAAGGGTACTTCCTTGACCGCTGCTGCAAACAGCTTCTTTTTTTTTTTTGATAAGCACCGCAGTGAGAGATTAGGGTGGTGGGACTACATTCCTCCTAGGACACAACACAAGTCTGTCTTCATTCCAGACAGGTTAATGAAAGTGCATGAGAATGACAAATATTGTTCCCTATAAAGCTCACAGCTGAGGGTGTGAGGCAACAACTCTGGATAATTAACATTCTTGGACAGATTTGAAATCACTTTCAAACACAAAAATGATTCAGCTATTTGGTTGGCAGGCACTCTTTTTCCCTGCAAGAGGGCATAACAATGTGCATATACCTTTAAGATATTTTAATATAGTTAAATGTTTGACTAAGTTTGCAACAAACTGCACATACAAAATATGAACAGTGAACTGCAGGCAGACAGATCTGAGCCCTGAACCAGGCCATGAACCTAAACTACTGAAGTTACCATTCAGCATTTCAGAAGAATATCAAAGGGGAATTTTTACAAAAAAAAAAACAAAACCATATTTAAAAGAATAATTTGAATTTATGTAAGAGAAAACTTCCATCATTCTTGTAGCTGCTAAGTGTGACTGTTAAGAAAAATACACCAAAATTGTGAGTGTATATGTTGCTTTATTGGAAATCAATACTTCCAAAAGCTAGATGGTAGTAAGGATTAGGAAGACGAATCTAAGAGGATGAGACCACCTTTAAAAGTGAACACAAATAGCTAGTCCATTGAAAAGCAAAACATGCAAACAGTGGTAGGGGCCAGCTTTTTTGCCAGGATATTAATTTCAATATTGAATACAGAAAGGTAATATTCTCTATTAGGCAACGTCATTCTTAAACGTTACTGAACTAGAAAGTGTTTCACTGAACACTTCCAGTGAGAAAGTTTTCATATTGATTTCATTTCACAGGTTGACTTGAACATTTACACAGCTATCCCAAGGAAAAGGCAGGGTATGATTTTGGTAGACATATCCATGCCTGAAAAGGTATCTTTTGAATAACAAAATACTAAGTGACTACCTAAATGTGAACACAAAAAGAAAGGTATCCCCTTTTTTTCCCCCATATCCATACACCAAATAGGAATAAGATTTAGAAAAATATATACAATTATAAAATTAATTAATGCTGATGAAGGTTCATTTCATTGTGTTTAGCTCCATGTATACCACGTCTGACAGACAAAAACATTGTGAGAGTAGTAACTATTTAAATACATAGCTTTTGCATAGGTTAGCTTTTGCAGCATCAGCTGCACACAGTTATTGCAGCAGAAGTTAAATGGTAGTTGCACTGCAGTCCAGTTGGTGCAGATGACTACTTCACGCTAACTCAGGCAAATAAATTAATTTAACAATAAATTTTTAAAGGCAAAGCAATAATAAAAACAATCTTCTTCCATTAACATGCAAAATATGCCACAGACTACATAAAATTAAACAAAAGTTTAAAACAAAATGAGTGGTAAAGGACTGCCAGTGAAACCGTGCAGCGTTTCCATGACGTGGGAATTACAGGGAAGGTGAAAGTTACAGCTGTTCACTATTCATGGCTTCATACAGTTGAGTGGGAGAAAGAGATACGGCAAGCAAGAAATACCTTTAATTAGATAAAAACAACTTGAAGAGAAGGCAAAAGTGAAAGGATATGAAAAGGGGAAGGGATGGAGTAAAGAAGAGAATGCAAGGAAATAATTTTTTGCCTAATGCACCAGGTCCTCCTCTTAGGTCAGAAGAAGAAATCAAACAAATCAAAAAAACTAAACACTCATCTATATCTGAATTTTCAGTGAGAGGAAGACTAGAAAGCTGGTAGGGGAATGCAAAGAGTTGCCTCTGTTCCAGATAAGAGTAGGTAGGGCAGAATTTTGGGTCTCGAACTGTCTTTACATTAGCTCATTCTACAATTGCTAGGCAGGTTAGGTGCATCACGTGGAAGGATGTTGCACAGCTGGATTTGTGTGGGAGTCTATACAAACAGAACTCAGACATGGCAGAGAAGGGGCAAAAGATAGCTAAGCAAAGTTAATCAGGGGAAACCAGAAAAATAAAGGACAAGCTTAGGGTAGCTTTTAATTCACATGTTTTAAAAGCATCTCAGGTTGAATCCCCACTGACAGGAAAAGGGGAGACATAACCCCCATTT